ACACAGTCATCAAGATGTTCATGAACACTGACAGTCATCAAAATGTTCATAAACACTGACACAGTCATCAAAATGTTCATAAACACTGACACAGTCATCAAAATGTTCATAACACTGACAGTCATCAAAATGTTCATAAACACTGAAAACAGTCATCAAATGTTTTATAAACACTGACACAGTCATCAAAATGTTCATAAACACTGACACAATTTTAAAAATCTCTTAAACCTTGGTCATTTTTAAAACCCTTTCAGGTTTTTTTGAAAATTTTTTAATGGTATCCGAGATCACGAGGTTTTTTTGGGGGGGGGGCACAACGTTGGGCCCCTTTAAAAGGAGTCCTTTACTTTTTCAAACTTTAAAAAATCTTTTAGATCAACAAAGTGACAATAAAAAAGACTTAAGAAATGATTCAAATTTCCAAACGTATTACTTGTGTTGGGGGTTTTTCTAATTTGAAGGGGGGTCGGGGTAGAAAGGTACCCTGGGGGGTGGGGGGGATGAAAAGGGGGTTGTGTAAAAAGGTGTGGGGGGTTGGGTGTTTTGTGGTGGAAAGGTTTTTGGGTTTTAAAAGGGGGGGGTTTTATTTTTTAAAAAAATTTTGGGTGTTTCTTTTTTTGTTTTAAAATTTTTGTGGGGGGTTTTGGGGTTATTTTTTGGTTTAAAATGGTTTGTGTGTTTGGGGTTGTGTGTGTTTTGGTGTTTTGTGTTTTGTGTTTTTTGTTGTGTGTTTGTGTGTGGTGTTTGTTGTGTGTGGTTTTGTGTGGTTTGTGTGTGTGTGTTGTGTGTGTGTGTTTGTGTGTGTGTTGTGTGGTTGTGTGTTTGGTGTGTTGTGTGTGTGTTTTTGTGGTGTTTGTGGTGTGTGTGTTGTGTGTGTGTGTTTTGTGTGTGTGGTGTGTGTGTGTTGTGTGTGTGTGTGGTGTGTGGTGTGTTGTGTGTGGGTGTGTTTGTGTGTGTTGTTGTGTGTGTGTGTATTTTTGTGTGTGGTGTGTGTGTGTTTGTGTTGTGTGTGGGTGTTGGGGTGTGTTGTGTGGGGGTTGTGTGTGTGTGTGTGTGTGTGTGTTGTGTGTGTGTGTGTTGGTGTGTGTGTTTGGTGTGTTGTTGTGGGTGTGTGTGTGTGTGTGTGTGTGGTGGTGTTTGTGGGTTTTGTGTTGTGTGGGTGTTTTTTTATGTGTGTGTGTGTGGTGTGTGTGTGTGTGTGTGTGTGTGTGTGTGTGTGTGTGTGTGTGTGGGGGTGGTGTGTGTTGTGTGTGTGTGTGTTTGTGTTGTGTGTGTTTTGTGGGGTTGTGTGGTGTGTGTGTGTGTTGTGTGTGTGTTGTGTGGGGTGTGTGTGTGTTTTTTGTGTGTTTTTGTGTGTGTGGGGTTGTGTGTGTGTGTGTGTGGTTGTGTGGTGTGGGGTTTGTTGTGGGGGGTGTGTGGTTTGTGTGTGTGTGTTTTATTGTGTGTGTGTGTTGGGGGTGTGTGTGTGTGTGGTGTGTGTGTGTGTGTTGTGTGTGTGTGTGTTGTGTGTTGTGTGTGGTTGTTGTGTGTGTGTGTGTGTGTGGTGGTTTTTTGTTGTGTTGTGTGTGTGTGTTGTGTGTTGTGGTGTGTTGTGTGTGTGTGTGTGTGTGTTGTGTGTGTTAGGGGTTTGTGTGTGTGTGTGTGTGGTGTGGTGTGATGTTGTGTGTGTTGTGGTGTGTGGTGGTGGTGGTTGGGTTTGGTTGTGTTGTGGGGTGTGTTTTGTGTGGTGTGTGGGGGGGTTGTATTTGTGTGTGGTTGGGGGGTGGTGTTGTGTGTGTGGGGCTGTGGTGGTGGGTGTGTTGTGTGTGTGTGTGTATGGTGTGGTGTTTGTGTGGGGTTTTGGTGTGTTGTGTGGGTGGTGTGTTTTTGGGTGGGGGGTGTGTGTAAGTGTGTGGTTGTTGTTTGGTGTGTGTGTTGTGGTGTGGTGTCACGGTGTGTGTGTATATTGTGTGTGTGTGTGTTTGTGTGTGTGTGGTGTGTGTAAAAGTGTGTGTGTGTTTAGTGTGGTGTGTGTGTGTGTGTGTGTGTGTGTGTGTGTTGTTGTGTGTTTATATGGGTTGGTGTGTTGTGTGTTTTGGGGTGTGTGTGGGTGTGTGTTTAATGTGTGTGTGTGTGTTGGGTGTGTGTGTGTGGTGTTTTATGTTTTTTGTTGTTTTGTTGTTTGGTGTGTGTGTGTGTGTGTGTGTGTGGGGTGTGTGTGTGTGTAGTGTGTGGGTGTGTGTAATATATGTTTGTGTGTGTGTTGTGGTTATGTGTGTGTGTGGTATATTATATGTGTGGGTGTGGGTTGTGTTTTGTGTGTGTGTGTACTCACTATTGTACTCCCCTTTTGGGGTTGGGGGGGGTCGAGTCCTCTCCGGGCCCCCCCCTTTCTTCCCCGGGTTTTCTCTAAAAACCCTCTCTCCCCCCCCGCTCCTTTGAGTTTATCAAACCCTCTTTAAAACTGATATGGTTCCTCCCTCCCTACGTCATTTTTGGCTTTTCCACTGCCTTACAAATCTATGATGAAGAAATATTCCACTATCCTTGACTCATTTGGTCTTCAACTTCCCAAATTTTGGCCTTTGTTTTCTTGTCCCCTCCCGGAACATCCTGTCCCTTTTCCCCCTTGTCTATTCCACGCAGTTTTTTAATTTTTCGTTATATGTCTCCCCTGACCCCCCTGTCCCCCGTGTCGCAGGCCGATTTCCCTTAATTTTCTTCTGGGCATTTCCCCTTAGCTCTGGAACTAAAACCCGTTGCAAACCCCTTTTTACTTTCTCTAGTTTTTTTGACGTGCTTTATCAAGTGCGGGTTCCAAACAGGGGGCTCAACTCCCGTATGGGGCCCACATACAGGGTACGTGTCTTAAAGATTCCTTACTAAAGGGGTCGGAATGCTGTTTTAGGTTTGCCCGGCGCCCATTGCTGCAGCAGTTATCGATTGATGTGTGCTTCCGGGACATCTCGGGGTTATACCCCCCCAAATCTTTCTCCCTTTAGTGAGGTTGCAGTCTTTTGGGCCCCCTAGCCTATACTCGTCTGTGGTCTTCTGTTTCCCCTTCCCCCACTTCAGACTTTTCATTTTGGCAGGATTAAATTCGAGAAGCCATTTGCTGGACCGGGTTTGTCCAGTCTGTCCAGGTCTCTTTGAAGTCCTGCCGGGTCCTCATCAGATTTAATTCTCCTCATTAACTTCACATCATCTGCAAAACAGGACACTTCTGAGTCTAACCCTTCCGCCCTGTCGTTCACATATACCAAAAAATTTAGCACTGTTCCCTGGGACCGACCCTGTGGGACCCCGCTCGTCACAGGTGCCCACTGTGATACTTTCATTACGTACCATGACTCGTTGTTGCCTCCCTGTCGGGTATTCTCTGATCCTTTTGCAGTGCTCTTCCTGTTATATGCGCCTGATGCTCTAGCTTCTGCACTAATCTCTTGTGAGGAACTGGTCAAAGGCCTTCTTGCAGTCCAAGAAGATGCATTCAACCCACCCCTCTCTCTCTTGTCTTACTTCTGTTATTTTTATCGTTTAAAAATCCAGAAGGTTTGTGACACAGGATTTGGGCCCTTCCCTGAATCCGTGCTGGTTGGCATTTATACTCCTGTCCGTTCCAGGTGCCCACCACTCTCCTCCTGATAATCTTCTCCATATTTTGAAAAACTATCACGTCAATGACACAGGTCTATAGTTTGGGGCCTCTTTTCTGTCTCCTTTTTTGAGAAAGGGAACTACATTTTCCGTCTTCCATAAACCCCAGGTAGTTGCCCAGTTTCCAGGGATGTGTTGAGATTGTGGTAAGTGGTACGCACAACATATCTGCTCCCTCTCTAAGGACCCATGGAGATGTTGTCCGGTCCCATTGCCTTTGAGGTATCGATGTCCTTAGCAGTTTCTTCACCTCCTCCTCCTCTGTATGTATGTCGTCCAACACTTGTGTGTGTGTGTGTGTGTGTGTGTGTTGTGTGTGTGTGTGTGTGTGTGTGTGTGTATGTGTGTGTGGTGTGTATATGTGTGAGTGTGTGTATGATGTGTGTGTGTGTGTGTTGTATATATGTGTGTGTGTGGTGTGTGGTGTGTGTGTGTGTGTGTGTGTATATGTGCGTGTGTGTGTGTGTGTGTGTGTGTGTGTGTGTGTGTGTGTGTGTGTGTGTGGTGTGTCTGTGTGTGTGTTGTGTGTGTGTGTGTGGTGTGTGTGGTGTGTATATATGTGTGTGTCTGTGTGTGTGTGTGTGTGTGTGTGTGTGTGTGCGTCTGTGTGTGTGTGTGTGTGTGTGTGTGTGTGTGTGTGTGTGTGTGTGTGTGTGTATATATATATGTGTGTGTGTGTGTGTGTGTATGTGTGTGTGTGTGTGTATATATGTGTGTGTGTGTGTGTGTGTGTGTGTGGTGTGTGTGTGTGTGTGTGTATGTGTGTGTATGTGTGTGTATATGTGTGTGTGTATGTGTGTGTGTGTGTATGTGTGTGTGTGTGTACTCACCTAATTGTGGTTGCAGGGGTCGAGACTCAGCTCCTGGCCCCGCCTCTTCACTGATCGCTACTAGGTCCTCTCCCTCTCTGCTTCCTGAGCTTTGTCATACCTCTTCTTAAAACTATGTATGGTTCCTGCCTCCACTACTTCACTTGCTAGGCTATTTCACTTCCTGACAACTCTATGACTGAAGAAATACTTCCTAACGTCCCTGTGACTCGTCTGAGTCTTCAGCTTCCAGTTGTGACCCCTTGTTTCTGTGTCCCCTCTCTGAACATCCTATCTCTGTCCACCTTGTCTATTCCCCGCAGTATCTTGTATGTCGTTATCATGTCTCCCCTGACCCTTCTGTCCTCCAGTGTCGTCAGTCCGATTTCCCTTAACCTTTCCTCGTACGACATTCCCCTGAGCTCTGGGACTAGCCTTGTTGCATGTGTGTGTGTGTGTGTGTGCTCGTGCGTGAGCCTCAACATGTGCACTAACATCTATTGTGTCTGTCAGAACTTCAACACCTGCAATAACACCTGTTATGTATGTCAGAGCCTCCATGGTTCGGGGTGAGGAGTCAGCGTCATCAGGTGGAAGTTGGAGGTACTGCTTCCCTCACTTGTGAGGCACACGGTGACACTCCCCTGGCCCTCACCTGGACCAGGGGCGGCGCCCCCCTACCACCCATACCCAGGTAAGTCAAGGATTTTGTCCCCACTCCCCCCCTTCAAGTCTACGAGGAGCACTGGGCTCGGGGACTCTGAGTGGTATTTGAGTTAGCATTTGATATTGTCACTACTAGCACTCTTAAAGTGCCTGATGACACTCATTGCAGTCATTTAGATGCTGTGAATAAAACATGTCTCTCCTCCTTTATTTCTCTCTTTTTAACTGTTCTTTATTTAAAGAATAAAAAGGCACAGTATCATGTGGGTATCATTCATTGGTTCATCATCTGTAAGGAATGTCTGTTTATTAAATTTACAGAGGATGTCTGGTGGCAGCAGTGGGATTCTGGTAGCAGCAGTGGAATTTAGGTTAGTTGTTGTGGAGTTTTGGTGGCAGCAGTGGGATTCTGGTGGCAGCAGTGGAATTTAGGTTAGTGGTTGTGGAGTTTTGGTGGCAGCAGTGGGATTCTGGTGGCAGCAGTAGGATTCTGGTGGTAACGGTGGGATCAGTTCTCTGAACATGTTTATTGTTACCGTACTGAACAGGAGTGGTGTCATCATATGGCTGTTTTCTCATCCTGGTTGTAGGCATCATCATTGTTTCATGACAGACACTGAAATTATAGCTTTTATTATCTGTATTATTTATACTTCCTTTGAAATGGTAAACTTTGGTGGGTTAGTCAACTCAATGGGTTATGGAGGGTTGGTCGTCCGACCGCTGACTGTGCGATAGATGTGCTTCCTAACTGCATTCATATAATATTAATACTGTTTTATTGAGAAATTCATTTATCTCGGTGGATATTGCGAGGTAATACGACAGGGAGGAGCCTTGACTTGTTAGTTATACATGGTCACATCTTGCATAAAAACTACCAGAAATGTGTTTCTCTGTTAAATTGGAACCGTGCCTTGAATAGCAGCTGAAAGTTCGAGCCTCCACCACTACTTGAATTGAACATTAAAATGGTATAAAATACCGACAGGTTGTTAGGTAAGACACATATGCAACAGTTAGGTATCTTTATTATGAAACGTTTCGCCTACACAGTAGGCTTCTTCAGTCAAGTACAGAAAAGTTGATAGAAGCAGAAGATACTTGAAGACGATGTAATCAGTCCATCACCCTTAAAGTTTTGAGGTGGTCAGTCCCTCAGTCTGGAGAAAAGCATTGTTTCATAGTGTGAAACAATATGGAGATGAAGTGACAGGATGGAGCTTTTTATAGCGCCAAGAGGTGAGACGTAGGCCACTAGGAGAGGTAAGAACTCAGATGCTGAGAGGTCAGGTCCCTCTCAAATCCAGCCGCTCTTACTTCGACAACTTCCACTAGTAAGAGCGGCTGGATTTTGAGAGGGACCTGACCTCTCAGCATCTGAGTTCTTACCTCTCCTAGTGGCCTACGTCTCACCTCTTGGCGCTATAAAAAGCTCCATCCTGTCACTTCATCTCCATATTGTTTCACACTATGAAACAATGCTTTTCTCCAGACTGAGGGACTGACCACCTCAAAACTTTAAGGGTGATGGACTGATTACATCGTCTTCAAGTATCTTCTGCTTCTATCAACTTTTCTGTACTTGACTGAAGAAGCCTACTGTGTAGGCGAAACGTTTCATAATAAAGATACCTAACTGTTGCATATGTGTCTTACCTAACACTACTTGAATTGAATGACCGACAGGAGTTTAGCACTTCAAGCCTAGCAATTGGTAGTATCTTTACTTCCTGAATGTTAGGCTGTCACTCTTCCTCCATTCCCGAGTAAGCCAAGAGCACAACCCCAGCACACAAGTACTCTTGGCGTTCCATCTCTATGGATCCTGTATATTGATTAATAAATATAGGTATATAAGAGGGCCCATGACATTTTTGAATGTCATGGGCCAAACATTTTTGAATGATTGGGCACCATGGAAACAAATAGAATCAAAACAAAGACATCAGCAAGAATAGCATGTGGCTACGAAAGGTGGTCCAAACGTACGAGTTACAGTTACTAACACACATGAGATCCAAAGGTATAAATATTTACACAAGTGATCTACAGATATGAAGACACAATATGCTAATATATATAGGTATCCTCTGGATACTAATACACTGATACTCGACAGGTACGAGGTATCAGAGAGGCAGGTGGAGACGGGCCAGGTATCAGAGTTGGTACTACGATCTTCACACCTCAGTGACTCTGGTACCTATGTGTGTACTGCTACCAACACCCACGGCTCCCTCACCGCCGACTTCCACCTCCTGGTGCAAGGTACAGTAGACATAGTGCACGATGCTGCATATATAGAGCAAGATATCGTAGTAATTGTGCATGGTACAGTAGCTATGGTAATTATTGTGCTTGTTACAGTAGTGTGATGCCTTATTTTCTAAAGCTACTGACCGTGTAGTTACTTCTCAACAAGTGAAACTTGTTTAACAAGTGTAACCTGTTGAGAATTAACAACTTTTGAGTTAATTTTACAGACGAAACTCAAGGAACACTGTAGATGCCTTAAGTCTTGTGGAACAAGACATATTAACATTACCTAAAGTCAAGCGAATTTTGCATTACGAGAAACATTTCTATTAGACGTATCAGTTTTAAAGATCTTCTACCTGATTAGATTTATTTTTTTCTCCTGTGTTCTTTTACCAGACGTGCCCGACCCACCCTCGGGGGTGACGGTGGCAGAAGAAGGGTCACGTCACCTCACACTCACCTGGACCAGCCCACAGGACTCCAACGCTCCCATCACAGCCTATCTCGTCACCTTCGATGCCCTACAGGTTCCTGGTGGGTATACTATTTAACTGTCTTCCCTGATAGTTCTCGTATTCAGAGATTCCGTTGCTGGTTGTGATGCTCAAGGAAGCATAATGTCACGTCTTATAGTTTTGACTGTGCTGAACACTTTCATATTACATTTCAATGATAAAGTCAATTCGGTGGGGCTAATCTTTACTCTTGTTATTGATAAAGATTCTATAAAATATATAAGGCTTCTCATACTTAACAAATTCATTATGAAGTTCCCATTTTATAAGCTTCAACATCTGTCATTGCACTGTAATTTTTCGTAGGTAATGACTGTGGGGTATCTTCAGTTTTACCTTTGAATATTATGTGGTTTTATATTTTAAATGAAATTATTTCTTGTTCTGTTTATTTCTCACTTCTCTTTCAGTTGTCTCACTCTGTACATTTTCGTGTTCTCTTTGTTCCTGAGTTTCATTCATTTGTAATTGAGGTTGACCCATAATGTTTGTGTGCTTGATGCTTCCCTTTGTGTTGGCGTCTGATTATATATGTCAGTCATAACTCCCACTTGCTTAATGTAATGACACAGAAAAAAAGAAATTTATATTACGACAAGGTTTCGCTCTGAGTAGAGCTTTATCTAATCAAGACTTGATAAATCTCCATATAGAGCGATTTTGTTTACAAATATTTTTTACAGGCTAAGAGCTGTTATCGTACCTTGGCTCATACTACCACCCCTGAGATGCTATCCACAACAGTCGACTAACACTCAGGTACCTACATACTGTTAAGTGAACTGGTGCAGCTGGTTTAAGGAAACATGCTCAACGTTTCCACTCGTGCCGGTGATCGAACCACGGACACTCAGTTTGTGAGCTAAGTGTGTTATTAATCGAGTCACATTACACCACCCATTACTAACCCCTCTCTTTCTCCTTTCCTGGTGCAGGTGGTGCTCGTGAAGTGACGGTGGAGGGGGAGCAGCAGAAGGTGAGGCTGGAGGGGCTGCTGCCAGCCACCACCTACACGCTGACGCTGGTGGCTGAGAATCGTGTAGGGAGAAGCCAGCCTTCACCTCCCCTGCGTGTGACTACCCAGGAGGAACCCCCAGCAGCCGCCCCCCAGAGTGTTAATGTTAGTGTACCCCAGCAACCCCCCTCAGGAAGTGTTAATGTATTTAATATACCTCAGTGGTCACCACCACCCCAAGTATTAATGTTAGCATACCCCAGCACCCCCCCCCCAGAGTGTTAATATTAGCATACCTCCACCTTCCTTCCCTCTCCCCTAACTAGTTGTTTTTCCACGACACGTAGTTGCTTCTAACAACAAATTCTTCCTTAACATTGAACACCACACAGGTTTAGTGTTTTTTGAGGAATAATAATAATAATAATAATAATAATAATAATAATAATAAATAATAATAATAATAATAATAATATTAATAATAATAATAATAATGATAATAATAATAATAATAATAATAATAATAATAAGTATCAAGGAGGCCTAACATCTTGTGTTAGTGGTGAACCCTTGAGTAGCAACTTCCTACACCCCCTTCCCTTCACTATCAAAATACAGGCACTACTTCGCACCTGACAACTCCAAGTCCGGCTAGGCATTTTTCCCTGAATCCTTCCTAGCTGTTTTCTTCTCCAAACTCCAATAGTTCATCAAATCCCCACTTCCTCTTCCCTCCCCACCAAAATTACTCCGCATATTCCGATCTACAATACTCACACGTACCTGCTGGATGCATCTCCTCTACTTCTTCTACTTTCCTTCACATCCTCTCTCCAACCCTTCCTGTCTACTTCCTTCCATCTATTCAAAATTTATGCACCCTCTTGGTCAACGTATCTTGTTCCATCGTTTCTATTTGAGCAATTCTTAACTTTTTCTTCTGCTTCTTAAATTACAGCTTTCATACAACTTCTGTTTTTTTTATTTCTTTTGTTTTATGTATAAAACATCACACATTAATCTCAGACATGACACTGCATATGCAAAAGTGTTGGCGCAACTCTATAACTTTTTCTCTTTTGCAACCATTATCAAACTTTCTCTGATTCATTAAGCAGCTAACTGCGTTTACTCCCTCGATGTTCATTCCCTCTAATCTGACCATTTTGCAAACTTCCATCACCTTAGTATATTCTTTATTCACTTTCAGCTTCCTTCTTTTCTACAATTTTTGTAACTCCGCGACCAAACTTTGTAGCTTCTTTTCTCTCTCAATAGCACTGTGTCATCTGCCAACAGCAACGTTGATAGATTCCATTTTATAAGTCATAAATACATTGTACAACAACAACGATATCACATGTCTGCCTATAGACTGTGTAGTTGGGACATTTTACCTCTTCTACATGAGCCGGATTCAACTTATAAAGAATTATTCAGAGCTTCGGTCATCTTAAGGACGATTCCAGACATTTGCAACATTAGCCACATATCATTCAACTCATTAATCTGTCAAATGCTTCATGAAACGCATGACTGTGAGACCTTTGCTTTTCATTATCTAAATGATGTTTACCAATTTGTCACAACTCAAAATCACTCTTGAAAGCAAGGGAAAAAAAAAAAGCTTGTTAGTTAAATCTTTTAGTTTAATATTTTCCAGGTCTGAACATTTTTGCTAGTGATGTGCTGGTGTACAACAGGTGTGTGGGCGTATAACAGGTGATGCATGGTGTGTAGCAGATGCTTTGTGGGTTTATATCAGGCGCTGAGTGGGTGTATGACAAGTATCGTGAGGTTGTATAACAGTGTTACTACAACCCATGACAGGTGTTGCCGGTGTCCTCGACGGCGCTACAGGTGTCCTGGGACCCACCACCACACAACCTCACCCACGGTGACGTCCTCGGCTATTACCTCGGCTTCAAGGACGCCAGGTGAGTCCCACGGTAATCACAGTTAATTAGCCTCCTCTTAAGGAGAAATGAGTTTTTCCCACGGTAATTACTGGTAGTTAACCTCCTCTTAACTGGTAGTGAACCTCCCCTTAACTGGAAGTTAACCTCCTTTTAACTGGTAGTTAACCTCCTCTTAACTGGTAGTTAACCTCATCTTAATTGGTAGTTAACCTCTTAACTGGTAGTTAATCTCTTAACTGGTAGTTAACCTCCCCCTAACCTGGTAGTTAATCTACTCTTAACTGGTAGTTAACCTCCTCTTAACTGGTAGTTAACCTCTTAACTGGTAGTTAACCTCCTCTTAACTGGTAGTTAACTTCCTCATAACTGGTAGTTAACCTTCTCTTAACTGGTAGTTAACCTCTTAACTGGTAGTTAATCTCTTAACTAGTAGTTAACCTCCTCCTAACTGGTAGTTAACCTACTCTTAACTGGTATTTAACCTCCTCTTAACTGGTAGTTAACCTCTTAACTGGTAATTAACCTCCTCTTAACTGGTAGTTAACCTCCTCTTAACTGGTAGTTAACCTCCTAACTGGTAGTTAACCTCCTCTTAACTTGTAGTTAACCTCCTCTTAACTGGTAGGTAACCTCCTCTTAACTGGTAGTTAACCTCCTAACTGGTAGTTAACCTCCTCTTAACTGGTAGTTAACCTCCTAACTGGTAGTTAACCTCCTCTTAACTGGTAGTTAACCTCCTCTTAACTGGTAGTTAACCTCCTCTTAACTGGTAGTTAACCTCCTCTTAACTGGTAGTTAACCTCCTAACTGGTAGTTAACCTCCTCTTAACTGGTAGTTAACCTCCTCTTAACTGGTAGTTAACCTCCTCTTAACTGGTAGTTAACCTCCTCTTAACTGGTAGTTAACCTCCTCTTAACTGGTAGTTAACCTCTTAACTGGTAGTTAACCTCCTCTTAACTGGTAGTTAACCTCCTCTTAACTGGCAGTTAACCTCCTCTTAAGGACATGTGGGCCACTCCCACGGTAATTAAGTAGTTCTTCCGCAGTCTATTGTTGCTTGAAGATGTATTCTGTCTCTCGTTGACAAAGTGAAAGACACTCAGTTCTCTCTCTCTCTCTCTCTCTCTCTCTCTCTCTCTCTCTCTCTCTCTCTCTCTCTCTCTCTCTCTCTTTCTCCTATAAGCTCCCATATACTCTTATGTGCTCCCATATATTTATCAAATGCTTCCATATATTTTCCTGTACTCTCATGTACTCCCATGTGAATGTAACATGCATGAGGTGACATCTCTCCCCGGCAGCGAGGGTGAGGGTGGGGCGTACAACTTCACAACGGTGGGCGTGGATGGTGTGGGTGTGACGAGTGCCACCCTGGGAGGTCTACGCCCACACGCCCGCTACGCCGTGGTACTGCAAGCCTTCAACTCCAAGGGCGCCGGTCCAGCCTCCCCGCCCGCCCTCGCCACCACCCTGGAGGACAGTGAGTGGGCGTGCTTGTGGGCGTAGTGGTGGTAGGAATAGTATGGATGGTCATAGTGGTAGTGAGCGTTGGGTGCAGTGGTGGTGGTTGTGATGACAGTGATGGTTGCTGTGGCAGCAGTAGTGGTAGTGATTGTGGTGGTGGGAGTGGTAATACTGGTGGTGGTGGTGGTAGTGATGGTGAGTAGTGATGGTGAGTGTAGTGATGGTGAGTGTAGTGGTGATTGTAATGATAATAACAGTGGTTGTGGTGATTGTGGCGGCGATGGTAGTGATGATGGTTGTGTAGCAGTGATGGTGATAGTAGTGGTAAGTGATAGTGGTTGTGGTGGTGGTGATTGTGGTGGTAGTAGTGATGGTAGTGGTGACAGTGATGAATCTTATGGTAATAATGTCCTACCACTTGCGCCTCAGTGGTTACTTATACGTCCTTCTTGCACGGACAGAGCCGAGTTCCCCACCTGGTCACGTGACTTGTGAGAGTGTGACGTCATCTAGTGTTGTGGTGACGTGGGCGCCGCCGCCACCTCGTCACAGGAACGGTGTCATCGTCAACTACCGTGTTTATTACTCCCAATCTTCACCACACGGTGAGTTTACTCCCTCTACATGGTGAGTCTACTTCCTCCTCACACGGTGAGTCTACTTTCCCCACACAGTGAGTCTACTTCCCCCCCTCACACAGTGAGTCTGCTTCCTCCACATGGTGAGTCTACTTCCCCCACACGGTGAGTCTACTTCCCCCACACGGTGAGTCTACTTCCCCTCACACGGTGAGTATACTTTTCCCACACGGTGAGTCTACTTTTCCCACACGGTGAGTATACTTTCCCCACACACGATGAATCTAGTCCCCCACATAGCGAGTTTACTTCCCCCACACGGTGAGTCTACTTCCCCCACACGACGAGTCTACTTCCCCCACACGACGAGTCTGCTTCCCCACACACGGTGAGTCTACTTCCCCACACACGGTGAATCTACTCTCCCACTCATCACACCAGTGATGAGAGTATCAGTGATGAGTGTACCAGTGATGAGTGTACCAGTGATGAGTATACAAGTGATGAGAGTACCAGTGATGAGAGTATCAGTGATGAGTGTACCAGTGATGAGTGTACCAGTGTTGAGTATACCAGTGATGAGAGTACCAGTGATGAGAGTATCAGTGATGAGTATACCGGTGATGAGTGTACCAGTGATGAGAGTATCAGTGATGAGTATACCAGTGATGAGTATACCAGTGATGAGAGTATCAGTGATGAGTGTACCAGTGATTGTGCTTTACCAATGTTGAGTGTACTTCACCAGTGATGAGTGTACTATATCAGTGATGAGTGTACATCACCTGTGATGAGTGCATTTTACCAGTGATAAGTGTACTTTACCAGTGTTGAGTGTACTTTACCAGTGGTAAGTGTAGTTCACCAGTGATGAGTGTACTTTGCCAGTGGTAAGTGTACTACACCAGTGATGAGTGTACTTTACCAGTGGTGAGTGTACTTCACCAGTGTTTAGTGTACTTCACCAGTGATGAGTGTACTACACCAGTGATGAGTGTACTTCACCGGCGATGAGTGTACCAGTGATGAGTGTACTACACCAGTGATGAGTGTACTTCACCAGTAATGAGTATACTACACAAGTATTGAGTGCCCTTTACCAGTGATGAGTGTATTTTACCAGTGATGAGTGTACTACACCAGTGATGAGTGCACTTCACCAGTGATGAGTGTACTACACCAGTGATGAATGCACTTTACCAGTGATGAGTGTACTTCATCAGTGATGAGTGTACTTCACCAGTGATGAGCGTGCTGTACCAGTGATGAGTGTACTTCATCAGTGATGAGTGTACTACACCAGTGATGAGCGTGCTGTACCAGTGATGAGTGTACTACAACAGTGATGAGTGTACTTCACCACTGATGTGTGTACTTCACTAGTGATGAGTGTACTTTATGAATGATGAGTGTACTTCAACAGTGATGAGTGTACTTCATCATTGATGAGTGTACTACACCAGTGATGAGTGTACCACAACAGTGATGAGTGTACTTTATGAATGATGAGTGTACTTCACCAGTGATGAGTGTACTTCACTAGTGATGAGTGTACTTTATGAATGATGAGTGTACTTCACCAGCGATGAGTGTAATACAACAGTGATGAGCGTACTACACCAGTGATAAGTGTACTTCACCAGTGATGAGTGTACTGTACCAGTGATGAGTGTACTACAACAGTGATGAGTGTACTTTGCCAGTAATAAGTGTACTACACCAGTGATGAGTGTACTTCACGAGTGATGAGTGTACTACACCAGTGACGAGTGTACTGTACCAGTGATGAGTGTACTACAACAGTGATGAGTGTACTTTACCAGTAATAAGTGTACTTCACCAGTGATGAGTGTACTTCACGAGTGATGAGTGTACTTCACCATTGATGAGTGTACTACACCAGTGATGAGTGTACTTCACCATTGATGAGTGTACTACACCAGTGATGAGTGTACTTTAACAGTGGTG